GGCCATCTGTGTCTCATTCGCTCGCTGCCTGGGACACGGAAGAAATCCTGCTTGTGGGAGCCAGGGCCTTGCATGTTAGAAAAACTCCTTTTTTTTTCCTCTTAAATTTTTTTTTTTTTTTTTTTTGCCCTGCAGCAGAGCTGGGAGTGTTGTTTCCAGAGCAAATGCACAGCGAGCTCTGGCTGGGTGCCTTTGCACTGCTCAGTGCCATCGGCTTGGTTGGTGGGAGAAAGGCGGACAAGGGGTTGTGCAGGGCTGGGAGTGGGGTTGGCATCACCCACCCAAGGGAGTGACTCCCCCCTTCAGCAGCCTGGGCACCAGAGGCTGGGGTGCAGGTGGAGTCCCACAGCAGAGCACAACCCTAAAATCCTGGTGGGTTCCCTCCTCCAGGACTTCAGAGGCACCAGGAACCTTTACAGCCTTTACAGACCAGGCTTTACAGCCCCTTCCTTTGAAGGGAGGGTGCTGTGGTGCCACATCTGCCACATGTTGTGGGTCACCTTGCCCTTTCTCAAGCTGTACAATATTTAGGACCACTGCTGTTCCCAACCCTGCTCCCATGTGGGGAGCAACTGTCCTACCCTGCACAGCAGTGGCTCAGCCCTCCTGCCGGCGTCGGGGGGCTCGCTGCAAACCTGAAGCCCAGAGCCACGGGCTGAATAAAGGTTCCTGTCTCAGGTTTCCCCATCTGGGTTGAGAAGGGCTGGGCGGTGGTTTAGAGGTGGGGTTTGGGATCGGAGGCTCCTCGTTCCCCAGCCCAGGGCTCCAGGATGACTGCGGTTGCAGCTTCAGAGCCTCCACGCCGGCTTCTGGCCACAATCGCCGCCCGCGGCATAGCCAGGCAGCCCCAGCCGGGGAAAATAGGTGGCTTTCAGAAGCGACTCCGTAACGTGGCAGAAAAAAAAGTCAAATCTTCTTGCAGGAGGGGCAAAATGTTCAGTTTTTTGGGGGAATGTGAAAGCCCCCGGTCTGGTTTTTCCCAGCCTGGTGGGGAGTGGCCGCCCTTTCCAAGTGTTGGGACGGTGGGAGGCGGGATCGTAGCAGCGCCCTGGCAGTGCAGGGATGGTTTCCATTCGGCCTGAACGTTACAGGGGGGATAGTGTTTCATGTCGTGCTGCTGGGGCTCTCTTCCGCAGCAGCACCGGCCCCCGTGTCCCCCCAAAGGGGGGCTTGGAATAAAATAGCCGCAGTGTTTTCCAAGCTGCCTCCTCTGGAGCAGGATCCTGTGCACCTGGCTGCTTCCCAAAGGAAACGGATCTGCCTGGATAATGTTTCCCAACCTGATCACCAGGAATGCTGCTCATTTTGCTCAGGACTTTCTCCCTCGGGGACGCAACCGCACTTATATTCCTCTGCTTTCCTCCGTTGTGCTCCTCCCCCACTTCCTGCCCCCCAAAAGTGGGGATGCTCACCTTGTTTCTGCGTGGATGGTGACCCTGTGTTTCTGGTTGCTTTGCAGGGGCAATGCTTGGAGGAGACCTGAACAACACAAATGGAGCCTGCCCGAGCCCTGTGGGTAAGTGAGGAGCCTTCCAGCCCTGTGCCCGGGGCTCCGTGTGCCACTCCTGCCCGTGGTTTCCCCACGTGTCCCCCAGGATTTTGCTTTGCCGTTCAGAGGGAAGCGCTGGGGAAAATTTTGCTGCCGTTGGCGGTGGGAGGAGTTGGCATGTGGAGCTCCAGCCTTTGTGGGGAGTGCTGGTTTCAGTGAAGACCCCGGAGGCTGAGGTGTATCCCTCTCCCCTGGGTCTCTGGGAGTGCTGAAGATCAGAGGAGTGATCCATGAGGACCAGGATTTGGGCACCACTGGCTTTAGCTCCTCACGCTGCAGCCAATTTCCCCCCCTCACCTCAGGTGATCAATTAACATCCAGTTCCTCCTCGGGCTTGGGCCCTGTAAAGCAACTTTACTGCAAGGGAAAAAGCTCATTAAGGTCCCTTTCCACTGCGAGAGCCTCGATGCTAACGAGGCTCAGGCCTTGTGGCTCAGCTCCCTGGCTGTAAAATGCACTAACATCATCTCCATCCCCACATCTGCCTCCGCCGTCTGCAGGCTGAGGATGTCAGCCCGGCGCTGGTGTGGGCACGGCCCAAAAACCAGCCATGGCCCCAGGCCCTGCTGGGAAGCTGCTGCAGGCCCTGGGCTTGGGCTTGGCAGGGTGGATACCATCTGTCCCAGGGTGAAGGCAGCCTTGCTCCAGGAGCCTGGCTTGTCACCCCTCCTCCAGGCCTTTTTGCAGCGGGGCTCCAGCCGACAGCACGGAGTAGGAATGTGGAATTCCACGTTGCCCCAATTAAAACCAAACTGGAGCCGGGTCCCGCCGGCTCTGTGGATGGGGCTGGTCCAGCACTGCAGCTGCCCCGTCCCTGTGCCCTGCACCACAGCCCCTCCTGGGAATAGCCTTTTCCCAGTGCTGGGCAGCAGCCGTGCCAGTGCCAGCGGGATTTCTTCCCAGGTGCCAGGGCGGTCCTGGAGGCTCACAGTGCCCGACACGGAGCTTTGCTGGTGCTCGAGGGCAGGGGGAAGGGGCCGCCGTGCCACGGCCCCCCCCAGGCACCTTGGCGGCCCCTGTCCCCCACCGGCCGCCCCCACGTCAGCTGTCGGAGCAGCCGTGGCAGGAGCTTGGCAGGGCCCCTGAATGTCAGCATTGACGTCACCGGAGCATTCCCCGCGTTCCTACCGCCACTGCAGGAAACGGGCGTGAGGAGCAGGGACAGCCCGACCAGGGCCAGCCCCCGACCCCCCGCCGGCCCTGACCCCCTGCCCGCCCCGGGGCTCCCTGCACGGCTGCGGGAGGGGAGTGTGGCTCTGGCACTGCGCTTGTGGTTTTCAGATACCTGGGGCATCTCTTCCTCCTCCTTCTCCTCCTTCTCCTCCTCCTTCTCCTCCCTAGCAGTCTCTGCAGCACTGAGTGATCACCTGCTACCTCTGAGTCATCAGCTGCGGGTGCCTCTGGCTGGATCCTGCAGCGATGCCGGCTGTATCCCGGCTGTATCCCGGCTGTATCCCTGCTGTATCCCGGCTGTATCCCAGCTGTATCCCGGCTGTATCCCTGCTGTATCCCGGCTATATCCCGGCTGTATCCCGGCTGTATCCCTGCTGTATCCCGGCTGTATCCTGGCTGTATCCCGGCTGTATCCCTGGGTCCTGCCCGTGCACCACAGCGTGTGCCACCCTCGGGATGCAGCACCCGGCCCACCCTGCCTGCCCCTGAGCTCTGGCTATCCCCAGCTCTGTCCAGATTCACAGTGGGGTGGTGCAAAGGCAGCCCAGAGTGCTTCACTTTTAGGCCCCTTTTTCTGAAGGGGGGGCCTTTGCTGGGAAATCCAGGCACTGGGCTGGCCACATCCAGGCTGGGTGGGCACGGTGATGAGAATGCTCAAGGCCACCCACCTTTGGGGGGTGAGTGGCAGCACTGGAGCCCAAACCAGCTCCCCTCCAGCACAGAGGCCACCTCGATCCACACCCCAGGTGACGCACACCATTAACATGCCGTGCCTCAAACAGGGAGTCACCATGAGAGCCACGTGCGTACCCCGTGTCGGTGCCACCTTGGGCAGGGGAGTGTCAAAGGGTTTAACATTTCTTTTGGCATGTCCATGGCCACTGGCACTGTGGGTAGCAAAGGTCACCCGGGGAATTCCTGCACCTTCGTTGTTAATAAATCTAAAAGCCAGTGGTTCCCTGTGCCTGGTTCACCCATCACCGCTGCGTCCAGCCCCGGGACAGCTCTGGAGAGGCAGTGGCTGGCACTCGGCCCCCGCAGCCGCAGCGTCACTGCCACAGCCGCCTGCTGAAATGCAGATGCAGCGCAATGGTAGATGTGATTAATAATGCAATCAGCGACCTATTTTTCCCGGTCTAACGTGCAATGAATATGAGGGCTGAATCCTGGTGATTGCTGAACGCCTTTCTATCTTTGGGGCCTATTCAGGAAAAAAAAAAAAACAACCCTCATCAGAACAGTAATCTGATCCAATTTATTCCTTTCCTGATGTTCATCAAATCTTTTCCTTTTTAATTTTTTTTCTTCCTTTCCTTTCTTCTTTTTTTCCCCCCTCTCTGCACATAAAATCCTTAAGTGGGGCAGCAGGAGGAGGAGGAGGAGGAAAGAACCTCAGATCTTCAAAGGGGCAGTGGGAGCAGTGAACTGAGTCCTCACTTGGCTGTAGCCCCTTTTTGCTGCTCTGGTACCATAAGGAGACCTTACAAGTGAACATACCAGTAATTATCTGCTGTGGCAGAGCCGTGGTGCCCGGCCAGGGCATGTAAAGAGCCTCTGATCGGGCCTCTGAGATGTAGCAGGTGTTACTGCAGGAACAAAAGGAAGTTCCTGCAGGTTGAGGAGCTGCCCTGGGCACTGAGAACTCGGGGCCGCTGCCTACCCTGCCCTCACCCTGCAGGGTGAGCCTGCCTGGGTGCGGGAGGGTGTTGGGGAGCCTGGGGGGGATGAGGTGCTGCTCTCCCTGGGAGGAGCATCCGTGGAGGCCTGCTGTGGCTCTGCTTGCTGTGCATGTGCTTACCACAGCTGTGCACTCACCATCTCCATAAATCCACCGCTGCCATGCATTCATAGAATCATAAAATCATGGACTGATTTGGGTTGGAAGGGACCTTAAAGATCATCTAGTTCCAACCCCCTATCATGGGCAGGGACACCTCCCACTAGACCAGATCACTCAAGGCCTTGTCCAGTCTGGTCTTGAACACTGCCAGGGTTAGGGCATCCACAGCCTCCCTGAGCAACCCGTTCCAGTATCTTAACACCCTCACAGCAAAGAGTTTCATCCCAATCTCCAGCCTAAAGGTCCCTTCTCTCAGTTTGTACCTGTTCACTGCCCTGCACTCACCATTGCCATGCACTTAAACCTCCTTCATCCTCTGCCACCCTTCCTCTTGCAGGAAACGGCTATGTGAGTGCCAGAGCCTCTCCGGGCCTCCTTCCCGTGTCCAACGGCAGCAGCCTGGGCAAGATCATCCCGGCCAAGTCCCCGCCGCCGCCGCCGCCCTCGCACGGGACGCAGCTCGCCGCCAACAGCCGCAAGCCGGACCTGCGTGTGATCACCTCGCAGAGCGGGAAGGGGCTGATGCACCACCTGGTGAGTGCCCGTGGCTCTGTGGGGACACCGGCTGGGGTGGGAGCGGGCAGGCCGCAGGGGGATGTGGTGCTGTTCTGTGTGGTAGGAGTGGAAGGCGGCCGGGGCTGTGCCGGCAGGGAGGTGTGAGGAGGAAGGCTTGGATTCCCCCGCCGTGGTGCCGGCGAGCGCGGGCTGTGGCGGGGACGGGGCGCTCGAGTTAACGGTGCCTATCGGTTCTCTCCCCTGTTCTCCCGCGGGCAGACCGAGGACCACTTGGCTCTGGTGAGTTCCCTCTGAATGTGCATGGCGGCAGGGTGGGGACACGGGCCGCTCGTCCCCCTCGGTCCCCACACCCTGCCCTGGCTTGGCAGAGGCGTGGAGCATGCGGAGGGGGTGGATGCTGGCTCCTTTGCCCCCCCGTTGGGAATGCGGTGGGATGTGGGCACCAACACATGTCCAGTCCTGACTCAGAAAAGCAATCCCAGGAAAAACACACTTAGAGGAAAATCGGGTACCCTATGGAAAAGAAGGAGCTGACACGAGCTGTAAAGCACCTGAGCTGTAAAGCACCTGTTTCTCTATCAAGGCCAAAAGAGTTGTGCTGGTTCCCCCAGGGAAGTGAGCCAGGTTGGTCCCTCTGGGGGCTGTAGAGCCAGGTTGGGCACCACCACCAGGCTGGACCTGCCCCATGGGCTTTGCTGGAGCCACCACAGTTACTGCACGGGAAGACCTGGTCTACTGCCAGCACATGAGAGACAGGGAGTAAATCAGGCTCTTCCCATATTAAGGATATTATTTAAAGCCTGTGTAAATCCACTGGCTGGCTAGTGCACTCCCTAAACCTCCCTTGTGCACGGGGCACTTTTCCGTGTTATTTTTATGGCTTTTTTTCCCTCTTCCTGCCAGCAAAGTGAATGCCACCTTGTTTGTGGCAATGATTCACTCTGCTCCGTTGCTATTCTGGTGCAGGGCAGATGGGCGACAGGTCAGCGCAGCGAGGGAAGGGCAAGAGCTGCTGCAGGAGGCAGCTCACAGCCAGGGAAAAGCTCTCCAAAACACAGGAGTAAGCCAGTCCCTCTGGCAGCCTGCAAGGAGACACTCTTGGGCAGGCCAAGGATGAGCCAGGGCTTTGGCAGGCGTGGATTCTCTCGCTCTTTGTGCCCCCCAAACCCTTCTTGCTTAGTGGCCCCCTCCCAGCAGCTCCCTGCCTCAGTTTCCCCATGGGCAGATAGAGAGCAGTCACTCCCCTCTTCCTGGTCTGCTCGTCCCTATTCCCACTGCCCAAGGCGTTCCTGGGCTCTGCACTGGAGCAGCTTTAGGCAGAAATCCACCGGGGTGGCATTAGCAGCTTTAATTGTTGGTCTGAGCTAACCAGCGGGATTTTGCCTGGAGTGAAGAACATCCTCTCCTCAGCTGAGGTGGCAGAGGGGAGGTGGAGGGTGATGAAATAAGGTTAGCAGGCGACAGGGACCTTGGCACAGCTGGATCAGGAAAGGAAATGCGGATCGTTGTCCCTGCCGATCCCTCCTGTCCAGTTCAGATGCCCCCCTGCTCCATTAACCTTCTCCCCAGATTTGCTCCCTCCATGTTGCTCAACCCACACACACCAGATCCTCTCTCTCCAAATGGCAGCTCCCACCTCCTTGCAGGCAGCAGGGGGATGAGTCAGCGGCCCCTCTGCTGCGTCCTGCCCCTCTGCCCAGAGCCTCTGCCTGCAGCCCCAGCCCTGCCAGCCCTGCTCCTGCAGCTCTGGGCTCCGAGCACGCTCTGCTCCTCTGGAGGGCTCAGAGGGGCATCCCCCCGTTTGTCTCCACACTCCTGACTTGGCAGGGGGAGCGGGATCCCCAAGCATGTGCATGGTTTGGTGCCAGCCAGAATGTGCAACTGGAGCACTGGGCATGGGGCATGGAGTGTGAGTGGCATGAGGTGGGGGGGGGCAGCTTGCACACCTCCTCCCCTGCATGGATTTGGAGTGAAAATCAGGATGGCATCCCTGCACTCGCCTTGTGATTCCCAGGGCTGATAGGCCCGGGGCAGCCCATGTCCCACCGGCCCAGCCCTCCAGTGAGGCCTCACTGGTTCCTGTGCCTCTGCCCTCCTGGGAAAGCTGCAGAGCCCTGGAGCAAGGGGCAGAGGGGATGGGGCTGTGGGCTGCGTCCTGCTGGGCTGGCTCGGGGTCCAGTGCAGGCAGGAGCGGGATGGGGCTGAGTCCGGCTCTCTGTGAAGGCATTTCTTGCCATGTCCTTAACCCATGGCAGTGGGCACGGCCGAGGGTGGCTGCCAGCGGGATGTGTGCCAGGAAAACCCGCTCCTGGAGCCCAGGGCTTTAGCAATTAGAGCCCTGGTAATCGCCTTCCCCGGGCGGGCGGCGGGAGGGACCTGCGGGGCTGGGCAGCGTGTGGGCGCAGGGTGTGCAAATCCAGCACAGCCGGGTGCTGTCACCCTCTGGAGGTGGCCAGGGCAGGGGCTGAGCCTTCAGCCTCATCCCAGGAGAGTCCCCACGGCCGGGAAGCATCGCGTGGTCCATTCCCAGCCCTCCAAGGGCCTTGGGAGCCCTGGGTGTGGGAGGAAGGCACAGCCAGCCTCGTGCCAGGCGTGATTTAAGCTGGGCACTGCCCCAGTCTTCACAGGGTGACGTGTGCTGGGGTGCTTCGGATTAGAGTCAAGCCTCTTGAGTCTGATTTAAATCAGATCAGCAGAGACAGTCCAGATTATCTGCCTTGTAAACAGGGCTGAATCTGACCTATAGATCCGCCCACGTAACTGCCTGGAAAACCTCGGGGGGAGGCTGGCATGCACTGGTCCAAGGGCAGAATTTTTCCACAGTGGACCTGCTAATGCCCAAGTCACACAAACCTCATGAGGGCACCGAGCTGGCAGGTTGCTGAGCACTGGACTTCAAGTTTTGGGAGGCCACAGAGTCCCTTTAAAATCCTGAGGCCAGCGCTCAGCGTCCTCAGCTTCCCTTGAGGCGAGATCTTGGCCACTGGAGCTGCAGGGGAGAGGATGTGTCGGCTCTGTGCTGCCTTGGCCGGTCCTGGTGGTCCCTCTGTCACTCCTTGGTAGCCCAGCAGACCTCACACACAACCTCTGGAAAGCAATGAGCTTAGTCTGAAGCATCCTGCTGATATTTGCCCCCCTGCACACAGGGACATGGCTGGTCCTGGGTGGGTGAAGCCCAGCCCTGAGCAGGAAGGGGACACAAGGCCAGGTGACCTGCAGATGAGTGTCACAAGGCCCAGAGTGGCGGTAGCTGGGGGGGTTTTTGCACTTTGCTTTGCTGCAGTGTGGAATGGCCGGAGGATCAATCCTGCTTATCCCACGGTCTCTGTGCTCAGCCCCCAGTGCATGCCCAGGGGGTCCTGAGGGGCCACAACCCACAAAGATGACAGAGTCCAGCTGGGTTTTAACTGCCTCCCCGTTTGCTCCCACAGCAGAACACGCAGAGGTTGGGTGTCTCCCAAGCAACTCACTCTCTGACCACACCGGTTGTTTCCGTGGCGACTCCAAGTTTGCTGACACAGGGGCTGCCCTTCTCTGCCATGCCCACAGCCTACAACACAGGTAAGAGCAGTGGCCAGGTCAGAGCTCTCCACTGAGGGAATGAACAGGAGAGGGGAATGTGCTGCTGCAGGGATGTGCCTGTGCTCTCCGAGCAGCTGCATCGTCGCTCACGGAACTTGCCACTGCAAGACATGGCTGAGTCCAAAGGTTCCACAGGATTAAAATCAAGGGGAAAGTCATTATATAAATGCTGTCGTAGCCAGAAGGGCCGTGAGGGCTGATCCTGCCCTACTGTAGCCCACTGAACTGTGCAAGTGGATGCTAATTACAGCTACACCCATCCTCGGGCTCTCCAGAGCTCAGGTGATGTTGTAATAGGGGCTTAATGACGGTGAGCCCAGGCCCCCAAAAGTTTGGGAAGAATGCAGACCAGCCTGCTCATAGGCACATCTGATTCAGCCTGGTGGGGTTCAAGCCACCCTGAGGGGACGGTGACAGCGCAGTTGCCCAAGCAAAGGGGTTGTTCGTGTGCCACCGGTCAGACCTCCGCGAAAACTCCGAGGGCTTGCTGGTTGCCCCGTGTAACCTGCTCTGAGCTCAGAGGAGAGTTTGCAAAAATGTAAAAGAAGCTGCTTGTCTGGAAGAACCCAGAACAGGCGTGTTGGGAACTCCCTCTCCTAAATTAGTAGGTGTAGCCCCGAGGATGCTGGCAGTGCGTGATGAGCCCCGTGTGGCGCTGGCCCTGCCGTTCTCCAGCCAGGCTGGGCACAGCCAGAGTGCCCAGAATAGGTTTTAATTGAGCCCTGCGCTGCTGCTCGGGGTGGAGGGGGCTGAATTTCAGCTCTCTGTAGTTATTTTCTCTCGCAGCTGACCGTGGTGTTCCTGCTCGAGCACCAGCGGTGTCTGTGCCACGGGGTTTACTGTGGGGGTGAGCGTGGGGGGCATCGCTGTGGGGTGCAAACTCCAAGCCTGGACTGTTGTCACTTGTTTTGCCAGGGCTGCCCTGTTAATTGGGTGGGAATTACCTCAATTTGTGAAGGATCTTGAGCACAAGGAGCGGCTGAGGGAGCTGGGGGAGCTCAGCCTGGAGGAAGGGAGGCTCCCCACTCTCTAGGACTCCCTGACAGGAGGATGGAGCCAGGTGGGGGTCGGGTTCTTCCCCCGGGTAACAAGTGACAGGACAAGAGGAAATGGCCTCAAGTTGTGCCAGAGCAGGTTTTGGGTTGGATATTAGGGAAAATTTCATCATGGTAGAGGTGGCCAGGCGTTGGAACAGGCTGCTCAGGGTCGTGTCACCATGCCTGGAGGGATTTAACAGATGTGTGGATGTGGCACTTGGGGACACGGGTTAGTGGTGGCCTTTGCAGTGCTGGGGGAATTGATGGTCTTGGATGGCTTTTCCAACCTAGATAATTCCATGATTCTGTGATGCTGCCAGGATGATCATCCTGTAGGTCGCTGTGGGGTGCAGGTACCCTGAGCAAACTCCCAGCCTGGGGCATTGCCACTTGTTCTTTCCAGGACTCACCTGCTAATTGAGTGGGAATTGCCTGGATTTCAGGTGGGGGCAGTTGTGCCAAGCTGCCCCCTGGCCAGGGTTACGTGCCCTTTCCCGGAACCGGCACTCAGCCAAACCTTCCCATTCCCAGCTCTGTGATCCAGGCAGGCTCCAGCTCCAGCCCTGGTGGGGGCTGTGGGGGTGTAACCAGTGGGTGTCTGGAGCTCCCAAACCAGAAGGGCCGGTGCGGGAGGTGACGGACGTTGGGTGGGGTGTGCCGGGGATCCGCCGGCGGCGTTGGCAGCGGTTCAGCCCCGGCACAGCCACCTCTGTGTGTGCTGCTGGGGTGGGGACAGCTGAAACCACGAGGCACCCAAAATCACAGAGAGAAAGGGGGAGGGAGAGGGCACGGGAAGGGTTTGATTTACCCGTGGGTCCGTGGTGTCTGTGTCAGGTGTTGACGTGGCCGAGCGAGGTTTGACCATCTCCAGGAGCAGCAGCAATTTCCCCCCTGGTTTTCCCCACCGTTGTTCCCACCCCTTGTAAAATCCCCCCTTGGTATGGATGGGGTGCTCCTCGGGGATTTGGGATTGCTCCCGGGGCCCTGTAGGGGAAGGGCATCGTCCTGCAAGCGTGAGGAGGCACTGGGATGTGGGCTGCCCGTGGGGAGGGACACGGTGGCTGCTGAGTGTCCCCACGGCGGGTGGGGAGCGCCCCCTGCTGTCACACGTGGGGGTGGCCCAGGTCTGGGTGACGGTGTCCCAGGCACGGGTGGGGATGCCCCAGGCACAGGTGGAGATGCCCTAGGTAGGAGTGAAGGTGCCCTAGGCAAGGTGGGGATGCCCCAGGTAGGGGTGAAGGTGCCTCAGACAGAGGTTAAGGTGCCCCAAGCACAGGTGGGGATGCCCCAGGTAGGGTTGAAGGTGCCTCAGATACAGGTTAAGGTGCCCCAAGCACAGGTGGGGATGCCCCAGCTATGAGTTAAGGTGCCCCAGGTATGGGTGGGGATGTCCCAGGCACAGGTGGGGTTGCCCCAGGCACAGGTGGGGTTGCCCCAGGTAGGGGTGAAGGTGCCTCATACACAGGTGTGGATGCCCAAGACAAGGTGGGGATGCCCCAGATAGGGGTGAAGGTGCCCTAGACACAGGTGAAGGTTCCCCAGGTGTGGGTGGGGATGCCCCAGTTACATGTGGGGATGCCCCAGCTGTGGGTGAAGGTGCCCCAGGCACAGGTAGGGATGCCCCAGGCACAGTGGGGATGCCCCAGATAGGGGTGAAGGTGCCCCAGGTGTGGGTGGGGATGCCCCAGGTATGGGTGGGTCTCACCAGCTGTTGGAGGTTCTCTGCCTGGGGAGCAGAGGAGATGTGTGCCTGTGCTCTGTGCACCCAGCTGGAGGGTGGCTGAGGGGTGTCTCACATCCCCACAGTCCTTCCTGGGGGGAGCTGGATGCAGCTGCATCCTGGAGCTGCCCCTGCCACTGCTGTGCCTGGGGGATAATGGCACTGGTGGGTGCTGGGGGTGTGGAGGGTCCTGCCAGCCTTGAGGCCAGAAGGCAGTCGGGTATAAAGAGGAAATTGTTTATGCTGAGGGTGCTGAGGCACTGGCACAGGTTGCCCAGAGAAGCTGTGGCTGCCCCATGCCTGGAAGTGTTCAAGGATGGGTTGGATGAGGCTTGGAGCAATCTGGACTAGTGGAAGGTGACCCTGCAAGTTGGACTAGATGGCCTTTAAAAGGTGCCATCCTTGGGACGTAGTGCCGTGGTCTAGTTGCCATGGTGTTGTTTGGTCATAGATTGGACTTGATGATCTCAGGGGTCTTTTCCAACCTACTTGTTCCTGTGATTCTATGATTCCAGCCCAAATCATTCCATGGTTCCATGTGTCCTCTAGCCAGCACCCCTGTGCCACTTGCAGCACGGGCCGGTATTCCACACCTTGTGTGTTTGTGTCTCTCGCAGGTCTCCATCTTCTCGCAGCTCTCAGGGTGCTGTGGGAGCAGGTTTGACATTGAAATGACTGAAGGGCTCCTTCTCTTCCAGATTATCAGCTGACGAGCGCTGAGCTGTCCTCACTGCCAGCGTTCAGCTCACCTGGAGGGCTGTCCCTTGGCAACATCTCTGCCTGGCAGCAGCAGCAGCAGCAGCAACAGCAGCAGCAGCAGCAGCAGCAACAACAGCAGCAGCAGCAACAACAGCAGCAGCAGCAGCAACAGCAACAACAGCAGCAACAGCAGCAACAACAGCAGCAGCAGCAGCAGCAGCACCTGGTCCCTGTGTCACTAGGAAACTTAATGTAAGTGGAACAGGTACCAGGGCCACTCAGAGAGAAATTGTGCCCTGCTGGTGGAGGAAGAAGGTTGCTTTTAGTATTGCAAATGGATTGCTTTGCTCCAGGGAAGGGAACACAAGCACTTGCACATATTGGAGCAGGGTTTCTGAAGTGGATCTCCTTTAAGTCTGAAATAAAGCGTCCACACACCAAGCTACTTGGTCAAAAGAAAGATTTAAGCAACTTGCCAGTGATGACACTGAGAATGTGGGACAGAAAGAGGCAGGAATCGAAGAGGGGAAATCTGTGGCTTTGCCCCAGTCACTGAGTCAGAAATGGAAGGATGGAGGAATGGATGGATGGATAGACAGAGGGAGGGAGGGGTGGACTGAATAGGCTTTTGTGCAGGGAATTCAGTGCATTTTCCTCACTGCCTGGAGCACATTTTTCAGGCAGGGCAGACAGCATCTTCCCCAGCAGCCACCCAGACCTCCTGCACCAGTATGGAAAGTCTGGATGGAATTTTGGGTTGTAGTAAAGAGGTTCCCATTTTGGAGCAAAACCCTCCACCGGGTCTGTGCAGCCCACGGGGACGCTGGGGCAGAGCTGTGTGGATACCCATGGGACAGGGATGTCACACCCTGTCCTTCTCCTGCCATTTTGGGACAGTGGGTAGGATTGGAGCAGGATCACGGGCAGCTGGGGGAGAGAATAGGTGCTGCTCATGGGGTTCTTCTAATCCCAGGTCAGTAGTGATGTGTCCTGGTGAGTGCAGAGATCGTGTGTTCTGGAGTCATAGTGATTCATAATTCTAATTATGAATCCAGGTTAATAATCTAATCCAGGTTCATAATCCTGTGTTCACTTGGCTGTGGGATGTGCAGGTTTTGGATCATGTGTATTGGAGGCTGAAAGGCTGTGAAAAAGATAATAATGGGAAATTTCCCGTTTTCTCTTTTCTCATCTGTTTCTCCCCCTCCCTCCCCTCCTGCTCTCCTCCTCCTCCTCCTCCTTTCCCAACCTCTCCCCCCCACCTTCCGGATGCCCAGACAAGGGAGCCACTTGTCCCACACCACCACTTTGACTGTCAACACCAACCCCAACATCAGCATCAAGTCGGAGCCCGTCTCGCCCAACCGGGAGAGGAACACTGCCACCCCGCTCAGCACCTTCCCCCACCAGCCCCGGCACGAGCCCACCGGCCGCTCGCCCGTCGACAGCCTCAGCAGCAACACCAGCTCCTACGAGGGCAGCAGCGAGCGGGACGACCCCGCCCGCCCCGATTTCGGCTCGTCCCTGGGCCTCCTGCGACCCACCAGCGAGCCCGAGGGGGAGAGCCCCTCCGTGAAGCGCATGCGGTTGGATACCTGGGTCACATAACGCGTCCCCGCCGTCCCTGGGAGCGCCGCCGGCTCCGGTGGGGCCGCGGGAAGGGGGCGGGAGGGGCGGGGGGGAAGGGGTCGGGGTTGGGGGGGTGCGAAACGGGTGATGGGGATGGGCTAGGGTGGGGTGGGGCGGGGGAAATTATCATAAACTGCCTGAGAAATAGCTTTAGGATTTTGTAGGCATTCATTCTAGCGCAGCAGGCGACGCACGCAGTACATACGGCTCTCCTCGGCCGGGGCCGCGGGCTCGGGAACAGCCGAGGGTGTGGGAAACGGGGCAGGGGAACGGGAGATCTGTGTGCTTGCCAAAAGCAGCAGCCTCTGGCGGTGCTCCCCCCGCGGGCGGGCGGTGCCCGCGGGCTGGCGAGACCCCTCCCCGGGAGGTGGCACCGTATCCCTTGGGAAGAGCGCCTGCAGCGGGACGGGCTCCGGGGGCAGGCAGGGCACAGAGCACCCCCGAAATGCACCTTCACTCCATGCCCGGGCATTCCTGGGGCCGTTGTGCAGGAAGGGGCATCCAGCTCTCCTGAAACTCGAAGGGCTTCGGCAGACAACAGTTTTCCTCAGAAAGGGTTTTCCTACACCAGTTTTCCTAAATCAGCTGGGAAGGGAGGCCGAGGCTGAAACAGGATGCACCTGCATCCACAGCCTGCCTGGGCCTCCTGGATACTGGAAAGCTTAATCCAGGGAGCAAGAGGCAGATTTTTAAGGCTTAATCCCATTTGCATGACAAGTGGATGCAGACAGCATCTTTTCAATCCTTCCTAGCAGAGCAGGGAACTCTGCCATCTCTGACCAGGGTCACTGGAACACTGGAGTTCCTCTTTCCCAGGAAAGCCTTGCCTCTGCCTGGGTGCAGTGGGTGTGCAGAGGGAGGATGCATTAGTGCTGCTTTTCAGAGAAAATGGTGGGTTTTACCAAGCAACATCCGTAAAAGCATTTTAAAAATGCTTTAAAAATACATTCCCAAAGCTTTAAACCAGGAAAATGGGAAGAAATTCTTTTTTTTATTGAAGGATGCAATTGAAATAATGATCCTTTGGGATTTTGCCTGAAGGTTTCTAGGCCTTGAAAGGTAAGGGAGAGCTGTGTGGAAAATCTGCTCGAGTCTCAACACAGTGATTTAGTGGAAGGGAAAAGGAAA